TTTTTTTTTTTCTTATTTTTCTTATTTCTTGTCTCTGATATTCCTCGCTATCCCCGTGTCTAAGGCTTATAGTTTTCATCCATGAATCTACCGAAAGATTCCGGGCAGATTCGTTTTCGCGAAATCCGCCCTACTATGGGCACGACGACCGGGGCTCTGATCCGTGTGCTCGGTCTGAGCACTCGTCGAGGGGAACAACGAGTGCGAGCACCTCGCGCAGGGAGCTACCAGCGAACGAGCTCGGATGCAAGCGGGGAGGGTGAGCGCTGCGCGGCAAAAGTAGCACTAGCTTATCAAGAGGTGGTGATGGTGCGCGGGGTGCAAGAAAGATGGCGAGTAGGAGAGGGTCGAAGAAAGGGGGTTTGACAGCGTGGAGGGAAAGGAAGAGGACCGCGCGCGAAGAAGAAGAAGAAGAAGAAGAAGAAGAAGAAGAAGAAGAAGAAGAAGATGGAGAAGGGAAAGGGGTCCACCACGACGGGGAATATTGTTGTAATTATCGATCTTGAACGAGGAACGCCGCGTTGATTACGTCCCTGCCCCGAGTACACACCGTCGTCGCTCCTACCGATTGAATGGGCCGGTGAAGTGCCTGGACCGCGGTGATCTCGACGGTTTGTCGCTGGGTGCTGAAGAAAGTTCATTGAACCTTATCATTAGAGGAAGAATAAGTAGCAGTAGGAGGAGGAAGAAAAAGTAGAAGAAGGAGAAGAAGAAGAAGAAGAAGAAGAAGAAGAAGAAGAAGAAGAAGAAGAAGAAGAAGGAGAAGAAGAGGAAGGGGGAGAGAGACAAGACGGAAAGGGCGACGTACCTATCATCCGCTGACTCGTCTGGCGGGATGCGAGCCGTGCCTGTCACGCCCCGTACGTTGGTTGTAGTATGCTGCGCAACGCGACGAGTCGTCTTGCCAGGGTGGAGAGCGGCGAAGTCTACAACGACTAAAGACGACTACGACGTCGACATTCAGGGAGAGAGAGAGAGAGAATAGGTAAGTCACGAATTTTATGGCGACCTCAGGCTACTTCAATGACGAAATAGAAAAATATATATATACATATATATATATATATATATATATATATATATATATCGTCACAAACAAAATATAAATAAACAAATAAATAGATAAAGATAAAATAGTTCATAAAAAGTCGAATGAATCTATCCCTACGACACGGGTATATACATTACACACATATATATACGTATGGGTATGATTGTTTGTGTATGTTTGTGTGTGTGTGTGTGTGTGCGTGTGTGTGCAAGAGAGAGAGAGAGAGAGAGAGAGAGAGAGAGAGAGAGAGAGAGAGAGAGAGAGAGAGAGAGAGAGAGAGAGAGAGAGAGAGAGNAGAGAGAGAGAGAGAGAGAGAGAGAGAGAGAGAGAGAGAGAGAGAGAGAGAGAGAGAGACTCTAAGTCTCCAATCTTGGCCGACAGCCAAGTCTTCGACCCGCGGCTCGCCACACGCTGCGTGGATCGATAGAATGAGCAAATCAAAAAGTGGCAGCATATATTTTCATGTTTCAGCGGAAGATTCATTCCGTTTTTGCTCATCCTATCGATGGAATGTGTGTGTGTGTGTGTGTGTGTGTGTGTGTGTGTGTGTGTGTGAGGGAGAAAGAGAGTTGAAGGAAACTTACCGGATTGATAATCAATCAACGAGGAAACCACACGACCACCGCCCTCCCTCGAACACAATGCACCCTGTCATGACTGTATCGGATTAGAAAGATAGTTTGAATACATTTGATATTTTGTTTATTATTATTATTATCGTCTTCTCTTCTTTCTCTTTGTAAGCAAGCAAACACAACGAGGGTGGAGGAAGGAAGATGAGCGCACAAAAAAGAGGAAACGGTCATTGGAGAGACGAAAAGGAACGAGCACATGAGAGAGAGAGAGAGGAGAAAGAGGAGGAAATGTGCAGAGGGAGGAAGGTGATTGCGTGGTAGAGGGAGTGCGCGAGAAGAAGAAAGAGGAAGAAGAGCCGCGGGTAATACTAAGCACGGAAGTAGAGAGTGAGAGGGTGAACAGAAAGCAAGTATACGCGCAGTAGAAGAAGAGCAAGGCACGCAATAGAAAGGAAAGAAGTACGCCGAGAAAAAGGGATGCACTAATGAAGGAGGTAACGCAATAAGATCGTTGGAGTAAAGTGCGAGGGCGACGATTGTGCAAGTGAGAGTGAGGAATGCGACTACGGGGAAGTGGGAGAAAAGAAACTATGGAAAGAGAAGAAAAAAAAAAAGAAGGGGGGGGATCGAGGTTGTGAGTGATACGAAAGACATACCTGGTGCTTGACGTTTGCGGCATTGGCCGAGATCTGCCCATACTTCGTGAGAACTGTTTTCGTCATCCTCAGCATTGTAGTAGGCTAGATAGGATCTGCCATTCGTAGTTTGGGCATCGAATGCCAGATAGGATATCAAATCTGGTTCTTCGTTGATGACGATGAGACTATTCCACCATTAACAATTATGAGCTTTTGCGGTGCTCTTATTTTGTGAAACTCGTGATGCAACTCTGCAGTTGGTTTGAGGTCACGACTAGCTGGTCTTATGTATATGATGCTGTTTGATTGCTGAACTTCGTTATTGCTCATCTTTCCTGCTATTATTATTATTTTTTTATTTTATTTTTTATTTTATTTTTTTTTTTATTATTTGGGGCATAGTGGTTCTTGGGTATACGTGGCAACTGTGAGTGGGAATCGAGGTTGTAAAGGGGGCGAGAGACATACCTGGTGGTGGAAGCATGCGACATTTGTCGCAGTATGCTCGTACTTCAGGAGAGTTGTTGTCGTTATTAGCAGCATTGTAGTATAGGCTAGATAGGATCTGCAGTCGGTAGTTTGGCGCTGAGCGCCAGATAGAATATCAACTCTAGTTCTTTGCTTGATGATGATGAGACTATTCCTGCATTCTCAATTATGAGCTTTGCCTGCTCTTACGTGGGGAAACTTGTGATGCTATTCTGCATTTGGTCCAAGGTCACGACTGTCTGGTCTCATGGGTGTGATGCTGTTTGGTTTCTGATGCTCACTCTTGCTCGTCTCCTACATTATTATTATTATTACTATTATGACAATCAGACTTGTTTTCTCCCTCACTTCACAGGCCTGCGAACAGGCTTCACATCAAACTGGTGACATGCGACCACTCAAGCACTCAGAGATATAGAAGCCCAGATAGGAGTTCATTTTCGATGATTATGGCGCCAAGATGCCCAACAACTTTGTTGCACACACACACAAGACCACGTTGGATGTCCCACAGTAGACTTACTACGTACACACAGAAAGAGAAAAGTGTACAGCAGACAGACTGAACAGACAAACAAATTCGACAGACAAACAGACTGAACAGACAGACAAACAGGACAGACAGACAGGTTCGACAGACGAACAGGCTGGATAGACAGACGAACTGAACGGACACGTGGATGAACAGTGACACAGTTATAGTGGCACGCGCAGACACGGAGAAACACACTGTGACATTGACAGACACAGACAGACACAGTCACACTGTGACAAACATACAAGTACACAGCCAATGACACCGTCGCACGGTCACACAGGCGCTGTAACGTGGGCTGTGACATGCATGCGCGGTCACACAGGCGCTGTAACGCCCGCCGTGACGTGCATACACAGTCAAAGAGCACACCGTAACACAGCAAAGACACCGTCACGCTGTGACACACATACATACACGACAAAAACCTAGTCACACACACGCAGACGCTGTGACAGACACGCAGACGCTGTGACAGACATGCAGACGTTGTGACAGACATGGACAGGCTGTGACAGACACACAGATACTGTGACATATACACAGGCAATGTGACACCTATATAGTGACGCTGTAATAAATATACAGTGATGAGCAGTGACGCAGTCACAGTCACACAGTCATGCAGTGATGAGGACACTGTCACAAGGGCACATAGTGCAAGTTGAGATACGGCGTATGGTCAGTCGCATTTCCGGTCACACGAAGATTGTAACACACGGTGGCAGTCCCCAATGACAACTCACACAGTGACACAGATGGTGACGGAAAAACACAGTCACGCAAATACACAGTCCTACAGATGTACAGTGGCATGCGGAGAGAGACAATGATATTCCGAGAGAGTGTTACATCGGGTTTTGTTGGTAGTGTAGCCACTGTACTTAGGTATTGACTCACAATTCTGTTGTACCGTTTCTCATTAGATGATTTTTTAAGACCAATACGTCGCAACAGACCAATACGTCGGACTGTGGTGTTTACGTTTGTTGCGTGGCAGCTGAATTGATGCGAAAGCTAGCAAACGTGACAAAGGGAACGAACATAACTGCAAAATATATAACAGGAGTTGTTAGCGCGATGGAGGTCAGTCAATGGTACAACGCTTTGCGCAGTGTGCTGCAATGGCAAAAGGATATAACACCGCAGCAGCGTGTGACATAGAAAACGTCTTCAGAGATCTCATAGATGGAATACGGATTGGAAGTTCATAATTACAAGGGGATGATAGAAACCCGGCATCGAAACACGAAGTTGACAACTGCGTGCGATTATACAAAACTCACATGTCATAGAGAAGCCAATCGGCACGCAGTAGCCAAATTGTGCATGTTACTTGATGGATGAATGCGTGATGTATCATAGAAAAAAAATATCGTCTTTCATGTCACAACGACAAAAAACGTTCGACTCTCTCTCTCTCTCTCTCAGTCTCTCTCTCTCTCTCTCTCCCTCTCTCTCTCTGCGTGTGAAAATCTCGCCTACGGTGGCGGATGACAAATAGTTGTTCCATGTGCCAAAATCATTCCATGTTTAACGTGAGTGTTTGTGAATTCGTGCATGTCAGAAACTTTTCATAAGGCTGAAGAGAATGACTCCGAAGCCAAGATACGAGGATCTGTGCAAGTCCTTGAAGTCCACAGGGAGGAGAGAGAAGGGGGAGAGGACAGCAAAGGAAGACAAGAAGACAGTCAAGCAAAGACATAGTAAAGGGATATTCCCCAATTCAAGAGACAGGAGACGAACACAGTCCGCAGAACAGTAGCAGTGCTCTCTGTCCCACCGCGGAAAAAGCAGAGGGGGAAATTGGTCGAACACAACAAATCACATGTCGCGAGTCCCTTGCGGGGGAAGAGACACGGCGACAGCGAGAAGCAACCCGCAAGAGTGCCAGAGAAGAAAAGGCGAAAAGAAAAAACACAGTTGCAACAACAGAGGACAAAGAAGAGAATAATATACAGAAAAGACAGGACTCCTGAAGCAATCGACCTCAGAGGGTCATACGATTTACGAACCACCGCTCAAGAGGAACGCGACGAAAAAGACTCCGACGAAGAAATATCAGAAGAAGTAGAATATGATAGAATGCAAGAACGAGGAGAAGGTGACGACAGTGACGCTGACCATGATGTCGATGCAGAGGAGAGCAATCCAGAGGGAGATAGAAACGGCGACAACACGGACAGATCCGAGGAGGGCGAAGAGGAAGAGGAAGGCAACAGTGAAAACGAAGAAAGAGAGATTACATCTGCTGAAAACAGTAAAAAATGCGGAACTGGTGAAAAAAAAGCAGGCGCACTAGAGACTTTATCGAAGAAAAAACAAATTGTGCAGAGGGAGAATGTACCGCTACAGGGTAAGATGAAGGGCACCTTATAAAGACACCACTATGTATGCACAACATAGTCGTTTTCCGTGCTGTAGAAACGACCAGGTTCACTGAGCGGGGGGGGGGGGGGGGGGGGGGGGGGGGGGGGGGGGGGGGGCCGGGGGGAGTAGGCACTGACAAAAGTTTTTCAAGACAGCTGTAACAAAAGTTTTTCAAATGAGAAGAGATGGCATCAACATTGGCGTAACGTTGCAGAAACTAGCATTTGTGGAGCTGGTACTGAGAAGTGAAGTCGAGCAGACGGCAAAGACCAGTAAAGCAGCGGACGAAATACAGAAACTTGCAGCTATCAAGAAAGAGATCGCTGCATCGGTCCGCTCCCGACACACGGTCTTAAGCTTTTCTATCTTCAAGCTCGACCGTGCTGTTTCTGTTGCAGACAAGGTCGTCGCATTTTACAGAGCTGAGTTGCCTGCTGTGCAGTGGGGAGACGCCAATAACATGACTACAACAGATGATGATTTTGACCTTGAGTTCATTGCGCACACCGTGGACAAATGTACGGGCAGAGAGAGAGAGACGAATCAAGTTTGTGCGCAAGGCCGTGAAAAGGAGAAGAAGGGGTCCGAAAGTGGAACGAGGGGGGTTGGGGGTGGGACAAGGCTAGGGTGGGGAGGGAGGTGGGCGATGGTGTTGGAGGGGACATGAGTTGCACCTCCACTCACAGTTTGTGGCATGACACACAGCCAATGAGGACCAAAGTGTAAAATGAGAGAGAGAGAGAGAGAGAGAGAGAGAGAGAGAGAGAGAGAGAGAGAGAGAGAGAGTTATTATTTGAAAAAAAAAGACTCTGGAGAAACCTTTGGGCTGAGTGTACAATAAGCAAGCATGTGTTATTTAATAAATGGTTTTGTACAAGACCTGTCGTGGATGTGTTTCGACCATCAAGTAGTATTTGCGTTTCACATCTCACATTACTCACTATCAATTTATTATACACATTGTTGCTTGTGTTGCAAGGATACGCAGTACGTCATGTGTAATGTGGGGCAAAATATGTCAACGTATGATTTTGCAAGAACATGAATCGTTTGGGCCGTTTGCAGAAAACGCATTACGCACTTCCAAAAATGTATTGGGCAGATACTAGAAAACATGTTCATTTTAATGTTGTGCGAGAAGTACATGACTGGTTGACTATTGCGTGCCATTTTTTGTCGTGCATGGAAATGATGCTGGAAATTGGCACCCGGTAGCCAACCCGCGTGTGAATTTCGTTCACGTCCATCGGATATTTGCCTATGGCGCATTCAAGGTTCACAGGAGCTACACAAACCCCCAAAGGTGATAAATAGCAACAGGATCAGTTTTCTGACATCATCAGTTTGGGAGGGAAGATGACTATCTCTCTCTCTGTCTCTCTCTCTCTCTCTCTCTGTCTCTCTCTCTCTCTCTCTCTTCTCTTTCTCTCTCTCTCTCTCTTTCTCTCTCTCTCTCCCCAAAAAAAAAGAAGCCCCCCCAAAGGTGATAAATAGCAACAGGGTCAGTTTTCTGACAAATTTCAAATATGCCCAACAATATATGAAATGTTCAACAGTTGATCATCACATTTTCAACAACATTTCAACAACTTGTAAATAACTTTTCAACAACTTTTCAACAACTTTTCAACAGCTTTTCAACAATTGAACAAGTATTGAACATAGTGTCGCGTGTTTATGACATATGTTATCAACGTTGAGTTCCTTCACTTTTGGTGGAACACATGACAGTACCCCCGCGAAACAGTTTATGAACACGAAACCAACAGTTTAAAAGGGGTGCCCATATTTGATAAACCGCCCAAAACAATGCCCACAATTTTTATGTTGAAAGTCGCCACCGTTGTCGCTGTGGCCGCCGTCGTCGCCGTCATCGCCGTGGTCATCTCCGTGGTCGGACCCCTCCTTGTCCTCGTCCTCGTCCTCGTCGCCACCCTCTCCCCCACCACCCACGGCGACACCATCTCCCTCAACACCCGTGGGGACACCCTGTCGGGCCGCCCCCGCATCAGCCTCCCCACCAAAACCAACGTTGTCTCCGTCACCGCCGCCCCACCCCCTGTCTCCAAGTCCCTGTGTCGGCGCTGCTCCTCCATATACGCGAAACGACCCTCCCATCCCGGCAAAGTTCGCAGCCGCTCCTCCTCCTCTTTGTCGACCCAGGCATCCCGCTCCTCCGCGGTCTCTACATGGCCCCGCACATCAAAATCGTCGAGGAGCACGTCCGACAGTGAGGTACCCCCCTGTCTCGGGGCACTGAGATCCCCCAAACCCCTGTCAGAGCCGTCGGCATAGAAGTCGTCGGTGCGTAGCTCGGACGGTGAGCGGTGGCGGACACCAGCGCAGGATGGAGTCCTCTCCATCTCCGGAATGTCCGCAAGCCCAGTCCCCTCATGCTGCTCGGTCGCTGGTGTCTACTGTCTCTCCGCTACTGATGCCGACCTCGTCGTCCGCCTCGTAGGCTGGGGCGGTCCCGTACTTTGATGATGAGAGGGAGAGAACCGACAATCCCGAAGGCGCACCTGCTCCTCCTCCTCCGCCCCTTCCGGCTCGTTGTCGCTCCTGACCTCCCAACGTTTGCCCATCTGCCGAAGGCCTCGGAGTGGCTCCTGCTCCTCTACGTGCTCGTCGGCACTCGGTTGTCGTCGACGACGACCACCGACTCTGCCGGTGCCAATGGCCTGACCACCGGATGGCACATTGTCAGTGATGACGGATGTCTGTGGAGTCATGTCGTTAGGTCCTCCGCCGTACGTGAAATAGACCCGCTCTGCCGTCGCGTCGTCGCTGACGGGAGCGTCGTCATCGTCCGTCCACTCGTCGTCCGACGTGTCGCCGTCCGCATCAGCGTCAGACGTCTGCTCCGGCCACGGTCGCAGCTCCACCGCCCTCTTGCCAAACACGTCCTGAACCGGGTCGGCTCTGGGCGGTCGGCAAGCATGGAAAGCGACGACCTGGCGCTCGATGTCCTGCTCGCTGAAACTGCCAGCAGGTCGCGCTCCGCACACCTCGGGGTCCACGTCTCCCTCGTCGTCCTCTTGCCCTCCCGCGGTCTTCTCCAGACTGGTCCCCATAACCCAGGGCAACACGTAGCCACTACCTCGCTGTGCACACCCAATCTCAACCAGCTGTGCAAGCTTGGTAAAGCCAAACTTGTCGCGCCTCGCCGTGTTGATGCGCTCGTGCTGCGCCCAGTTCCTCTCCGCAGGAGAGGCGGACGTCCACAAGTGCATCACACGGATGGCGATGGTGCGCAACTCAGGGTGATGACGTCCGTGATCAAACCATCACTGGGCACAACACTCAGTCTCGCGGTCCCCCCGACAGTCGTCGGCCTCGGCATCGGACAGTTGTCGATCTCTCCAATCTCCCCGCTGGGAGTGGAAATGCCTGATCTGGTCACGAATTGTTTTGTACAGTCTGCCGACCGGATCGCCGCCAGTCTGTGCGAGCAGAAATTTGTCGCACTTCTCGACCACACGGGCATCGTCGGTGGTCGTCTGCAATGACTCATAATATCGGAGGGACCGGCGACGAGGGTTGAGGAGGTGTGCCTCAGCATGTGCGGGCTCGAGCATGTGGAGGTTGCGGACGACTACTCGCGCACGCACGACTCGACCATGTCCGCCGACACATCCACCCTCCTTATCAACTCCAGAAGATGCTGACTCCACTCGTAAACGTTGGACATCATCATCCCCCCTCTATCCATCCTCCTCAAGAGCTGGTGGATGGGCGACATAACGCGGATGGCACAGTCAACGCATCGCCAGAACTCGCTGTCGCGGATCTGCTGCTGAACCCACTTTGCCTAGGAGACAAGCCTGCGCTCCCACGGGACGCGAGCCCACGCGTCGCCGTGCAGCATGCTCTCTAACGCGTCCCGCCGGTCTTTGAGACACGTCAGCATCAGAAAAAGTGATGCAAACCGGGTCTCAACGGGCTCAACCAGCGGGACACGAGGGCTCATCCTCCTGAAAAGGGTGAACGCAGCGCCGTGCAATTTAATAAATCACACTAACGCTCGGGCACGGATGATGGTCTCCTCGACCCACCCCACTCGCGTCCCGACGTCGGACAACATCAAGTTGCAGATGTGGGTGGAGCAGGGAAGCCAAGTGATCCTCCTGATGTTAGTGTCGAGGCCGGTGGCAAATCAGCAGGCCGCCGCCGTATAGTTACTTGCGGAGTCCGTGCAGAAGCCGATCACGTCCTTTGCAGGAAAGGACAAGATTATGGCCCGCCACCTGCGATACACGACATCCGCCGTGTCAGCGACTGACCCGTCACGTGCGACGGTCGTATACAGCAAGGCGCCGTTGGCGCCCCAGGCCAGGAAGTTCACGAGCAGCTTGTCGCTATGCGACTTCCTTCCATCGGAGAGGATGGTGGCACCGGTGTGCCGGAAAGAGGTTCGTACCTCGCTCACCATCGTCGCCACCTTCCCCCTCTGCGAAGGGATCTTGGCGCCCGTTGTAACCCCGTAGGAGGGAAACTGGAAGCGAACGTTGTGGGGGACTCTCTCCGCCGCCTGACGCACCCTCTGGAACTCCGGCCCTCCGAAGGTGTTGAACGGCAACCCGTTCGCGTAGATCCACTGCAGCCACCCGTCAGTGAACTCGCTCAACTTCTCCTTCTCGTACAGCTCGTCGATTGTCGTCTGACGTGCCCTCTTCTCCCTCGCCGTGTTCCGCACGTCAACGTCCTCCTCCCCCACTTTCCTCTTCTCCCTCCTAGCGCGCTCCAACTCATGTCGTGACGCCCTCGCACCGCGTCGCGCGAGGCTGTCCGCTCTCGATGTCATCACTACCCCCTCCCCAAGCAGATTGGGCTCGCAGCGTCCAGCTTCCTCGTCGCGCATCCCCACCTTGCCGACCCCGCCCTCGCCCCCCTCCTGGGCATCGAGGAAGTCTTGCATGTCATCCCTCTCTGCCTCGTCTGCCCGTGACCGCTTCCCACCCGTGGTCGATCTCGTATCCCGAATCCCCTCGTCTGCCATCCACCTCAGGACCCGCTGAGCAGCCTTGTCCACGAACATGTACCCCATGTTGTTCCAGATGTCCGCGAGAACTCTCATCCCCGCAATCTTGCAGTACTTGGGCTGCGTGAAATGGCGAGCGGCCTTCGTCGCATTCCCCTGCCACACATGGTTGCAAAAGTTGCAACGCAACTTCCGGTCCCCATGCATCTTCGACTGGTCCCCGACAAGTT